CGCATAACTTAATCTTATATCGGTTGAGATGTGGCTTGGGAAAGGGTAAAAAAATACACACCGTCGCCCAGCCTCTCGGGAACATAGTGTCGGAGCTGCATGTACCCCATACACACCGTTTGACCATTTTAAACTTAAAATAAGAAAAAATGAATGAAAACTGACTAACTGCAATACATTTCAATGGACGTGGAAGCAGAGAATGTCTGAGTGTATTGGGTTAGCTGCACACTGTGATTGGCTCATCGCGTTTGGGTACGTGGCTTAGCCATAGGTCAATTGCGCATCAACACGGACAACGACGCAGAAGTATAAATGAAAACCAACGAGTAGTCTATAGGTCCGACGCAGAAGTATAAATCAGCCTTAATTATTTCATCCTGACCCTCACAAGATAGCTCTCTGGGCTTGGCCAAACATGGATCACTTGCTGGGTGTGGGTGTGTGTGCATCATGAAGCTTTTATTAGGCTACCAATTTTGTGCTACTGAAACCACAACTTCCAGAGTTTCACTGACAAATGAGTCATGATCACACTTCATCTATATATACACAGCAAAAACTCCCGTGTTAAATTAACTCTTCTATGAATGTATTTTAGACCACACTCAAAAGTGTTACAATAAGGGAAAATGTCAAGGGTCGTGAGCCTGAACTAAACAACCGAGAGAAATATATGTCTACTACCTCAGATTTAACGTTTGATCTGAACATCAGTATCGTGGAATAACATAATCTTACTCACGGATGAGAAAGCCGTGCAAAAACCGTGAAGACTTCAATGTAAACACAGCTTTTGTCTCGAGTGTAACGTCATAACACACGTCTCTTATTCTTATTCTGTTTCCAATTAAACACCCTGGTGTTGTCCACTTTAGGGGTTTTATAGAGGCATATAAGAGCATAGGTGTCAACAGATATGAGATTTCCAGGAATCCATCCCTATATAAGGGATTTTTTTACACCATTCTTACCTTAAAAACATTACATTACACATTTTAGTTTAAAGGAGAACTCAAGTCAATTTTAACATTGAGCTCATTTTTTTTTGGTAAATGTTGAGTGTTGTCAGTACAGAGAACAATGACAAAAATTGGTGTTGCCTACACTGTTATGCTCTTTTTAAAATGTGCAACTGCTTTTAGTCTCAGTGATTTTGGCCATCGGCATCCTCATGATCCATTATCCCACTAATCTAACGTTATTCTACACTACTTGAAGTTCAGACTTCCCGGCCGCTACTTTTTCCCTCTTCCTCCCGCCTGCCACTACAACAGTCTTCTTCTTCCTCTTTTTTAATAGTAGCCTAAGCTACTGTCTCTATACTGCCACCTGCTTTACCGGAGGTCTAGCAACCCAAGTGCAAGCCACTTCACAGACACAGGTAGTTGCGTGTTCTGAGTTAAAGGGTTAGTTCACCCAAAAATTAAGTCATTAATTACTCACCCCCATGCTGTACCAACCCCCTAAGACCTTCGTTCGTCTTCGGAACACAAATGAAGATATTTTTGATTAAATTTGAGAGCTGTATAACTACCACATTGGCTCCTAAGGGACTGGCTCTTGACGGCCCAGAAAGTCAATGAAGAAAACGTTTAAATATCCCAAGTGACTACCGTGGCTCAACTATAAGTTTATCAAGCGACGAGAATACTTTTTGTGCGAAAAAACAAACAAAAATAATGACTTTATTCGACCATTCCTTTTCTTCCTTGTTGGCCTGAAACGAGACTTCCTTAGATTTCCACGACGCATGCGCGAGAACTGAACTGAAGTAGTTGAAGGAGATCGCAATTCTCGCGCATGCGTCGTGGATATATTTTACGGGAAAATACTCGAACAGGAAGACAGCGGGAAAAGAGCTAAAATACGTGAGAAACACAGCAAAAACGGGAGGGTTGACAGCTATGGTCACAACCAAGACCGTTAGTTACCACTTTCAGTGTGTGTCTGTTCATACAGCATATCTGCAATACGGGAGTGGTCTATATCCCTTAGTGAGATACCGAACGGATGTAATAAAGAGAACGTTAGGTTAGCGTAACCTCGGTTCTCTGATAACAAACGTGATGTATCTCACCTCACCGCCCTCCTAACAAACTACACTGCGAAGAAGATATGTGTGGTCTTGGACTCGAGACCGTTTTTCTATGGTCTCGGACTCGCTGGTATTCGGACTCGGACTTGTCTCGGTCTCGGCCACTGGTCTTCCCAAATATGGCTTTTGGTCTCGACCGAGTCCAACATTTTTGAATGTGTGTTCATTTATTAGGCGAGCCTATCAGGGTAAGGTTAACTTAGAAAATGCCAAAATTAACCGACCAAGTGCTCACTACAACAGAGCGCGTCTTCTGTGTTACTATAGTTACTAGCTAACGTTACTTAAAAATCCTGGGTGTTGCGCCCAATTCTATTCATTCCCGCAGGTCTCCCATTTATAATGCGGGATATTCCCACAATCGTAATCCACACAGATTATACAATCAAATCATTCTTTTAATAACTATCTGCCAGACGCAATTTCACAAACATTGAGAGTGTTCGGCGGAGCCGCATCTTCTCTTCTCTCAAAATGTGTTGTGGAAGGCGCTGCTGCGATAATACACACTCGCGTTCAGGAGTCGGGACATGACGCAATATTCACTTGCACAATCGGGCCAGCAGTGCACCGTGAATAAAGCTTACCATTTGCACGTCTTTTTAAGTCTTACTAGTTTAACATTCAAGCAACGTTAAACTGTCAGTCCTCGCGCACTCTCTGGGATGACTTTGCGCACATTCATATCTCACAACCAATTCGTACGAGTGATTCAAAAGTGGCTAATTCGTACCAATTCATACGACCTCACTCGTACGAATTCGTACGATTTGTCTAAACCCACGTGACGGTTATGTTTAGGGGCGGGGTCAGGGGTAGGTCATTCGTACAAATTCATACGAATTGGCTAATTCGTAAAATATGTACGATTTAGCAAAATCGTACTAATTTGTACGAGTGAGGTCGTACGAATTGTTACGAATTAGCCACCTCGTAAAATTCATACGAATTCCCGTGAGATCGGGTCGGAAAATCCGCCTCAAGAACAGCTGCCCAGTAACAAAAGTTATTTTTCACGGATTAGCTATATTGCTTTAAGACTCAAAACTGTGTCAATTTCGGTCTTTGTGAGTATACTCTTAACATAGTCGGATTTGTCTTTAATAAGCATAAAACGCACGCCAGTATAATGAACACAGGATCCGTGCACTGGCTCTTAAAGTGACAGCAACCATATGTGTCGGTCATTAATTTTGTCGTATAAACAACAAAACAGAGCTTTAAGTTTAAGGAATCAGGATTGATAGCCTATGTGTTTAATTTATTTAGGACTAAAATACTATCCAGTGTTATTTTCCATTTGATTACTTTATTCAGTTTCTGTCTATGAATATTTCTTAATATCTTTATTGTATTTATTTGTGCAACTTTTTAATTGAACAATTTAAATCAAGCCTTGCGTTGTGTAAATTCTTAACAACGTTACCCCATTGTAAAAATGCAATGAGTGCAAAAATTTAGGCAAGATAAATTTAATAATTTTGTTTGGCAAAAACGAAATTCAGGCCCTGAAGACTTTTGTTTTCCTGTCCTGGACTCGGTCTTGACTCGGACTCAAACCTTTTTGGACTCGGTCTTGACTTGGACTCGACTAGTCCTGGTCTTGGACTCGACAAAGGTGGTCTTGACTACAGCGCTAGTAGATGATGCAGTGAGTTATATACCAGGAGGCGGGACTCCCTGATCGCTGTAGCGATTGGCCTTTCAGTCTGTAATTGGTGCTTCCTCTCCATATTTAACATTAAGATTTAGAACTGTTTTGATTTATTATACAAACTGTTATTAATGTACTTTTAGATGAGAAAGAAAAATGATTTGTCCATGATAAACCTCTGATATTACTTGCATACTAGTCATAATCTGAAAATATAGTACACATGCAAAATAAGCTTTAGTGGTGACCTGTTGATATACAAGGTACATTGTTAATCTCTATACCCTACACACTAGGGTAAAAGCACAAGAACACAAAGAATGAAATGGCAACTATATATGTAGACAATAGTTTTATTAGTTTAAATTAGTCAAAAATGTGTACTTGACACGACTGCTAAGTTTTCGCTCATCTCCTCACACCCAGGCCACTTCCTCTTTAATACTTAAACACTATTTATACATTGATTTATTAAACACACCACACTTCTTCTTTACATTTCCTTGTATTTGTACATACATACCTGTACATACCATCTATTGTCTATTTTTTGGTATATTGTTGTTATCTAATTTTTGTTTATTGTGTATTTTACCTATAGACCATTTCACAAGATGTAAACAACACTGGTCCAGAAGCACTTCCTGTTTCAGTTTTTTAACACTACATAAAAGCTGGGATAAAATACAACCAACAGAACATTTAAAACTGAATCAAAAAGTTAAACAAACATCTTTAAGATGTTTTATTTACATGTGAACTAAAGAAAACAGTTACAAACTGAAACAGGAAGTGCTTCTGGACCAGTGTTGTTTACATCTTGTGAAATGGTCTATTCTGCTTTTTAATTGTAATATATGACAACAAACTGTACAAGACATGTATCAAAATATCATTGACTGACAAATTTATTTAAAGAGCTTTTTATGTAGATAATATCTGTGATGATGGCGCAGTGGATTAGACACATGCCTTTGGTGAGAGACCTGGGTTCGAATCCACTGTGAGACACCAATGTGTCCCTGAGCAAGACACTTAACCCCTAGTTGCTCCAGAGGCGTGCGACCTCTGACATATATAGCAATTGTAAGTCGCTTTGGATAAAAGCGTCAGCTAAATGAATAAATGTAAATGATAAAGCAGTCTGTAAGAGCCAGTGCAAACCACTGAAGCGAGAGTGATGATGTGTGCCAGTGGTCATGTGATCATGAACCTTGTGTAGGAGCTGTTGCTGTAGTTCTGCTTGATGTCTTCTCAGAGTTTGATCTGCTGACTGGAGTCAGTGTTGTTGAAGAGACTGGAGCTGCAGAAGATGAATGTTCACACACATCACCTGTAGGACATTAACATTTATTAGCCTTGTAATTCCTATAACAGATCTCCAACATGGGCTATACTAGACTTTAATAGGCTCTTTTGATTTATGCAATATTCATCATCATCATCAACTTTTTATTTTAATAATGTTTTAGTAAATGCTGAAATTAACAGTAATTATTTAACTAACGATACCTTATTGTAAAGTGTTACTGATTTCATGATAGCGAACACTTTCATGCTTATAATTCATACATACAGTTTACAACATGTCTTTTTATCTTCAGTTGATTTCATTTAAGACTGTGGCTGAAGTCAAATTGTAGTTCTTGTGTTTCTCTGTCCTTTAATGATTCTGCTTGTTAACAGCAGGTGTTCATCACTAATGCTCAATCATGCTCAACAACCCCAGTAAACTCACCAGTATTTTATTGTAATATTGCAGGCATCTCTATTTCCTCTGGGTGCTTCAAGTTCTTCCTCCCTGCAAAATAAAAGCATTGACTGTCCTCTGGTATAATTCAAAATAAAAGCATTGACTGTCCTCTCGTATAATTTAAAATAAAAGCATTGACTGACCTCTGGTATAATTTAAAATAAAAGCACTGACTGTCCTCTTATATAATTCAAAATAAAAGCATTGACTGACCTCTGGTATAATTTAAAATAAAAGCATTGACTGTCCTCTGGTATAATTCAAAATAAAAGCATTGACTGTCCTCTGGTATAATTCAAAATAAAAGCATTGACTGACCTCTCGTATAATTTAAAATAAAAATATTGACTGTCCTCTCGTATAATTCAAAATAAAAGCATTGACTGTCCTCTCGTATAATTCAAAATAAAAGCATTGACTGTCCTCTCGTATAATTCAAAATAAAAGCATTGACTGACCTCTCGTATAATTCAAAATAAAAGCATTGACTGACCTCTGGTATAATTTAAAATAAAAGCATTGACTGACCTCTGGTATAATTTAAAATAAAAGCATTGACTGTCCTCTCGTATAATTCAAAATAAAAGCATTGACTGACCTCTCGTATAATTAAAAATAAAAGCATTGACTGACCTCTGGTATAATTAAAAATAAAAGCATTGACTGACCTCTCGTATAATTTAAAATAAAAGCATTGACTGTCCTCTTATATAATTCAAAATAAAAGCATTGACTGACCTCTCGTATAATTAAAAATAAAAGCATTGACTGTCCTCTCGTATAATTCAAAATAAAAGCATTGACTGACCTCTCGTATAATTTAAAATAAAAACATTGACTGTCCTCTTATATAATTCAAAATAAAAGCATTGACTGACCTCTCGTATAATTCAAAATAAAAGCATTGACTGTCCTCTCGTATAATTCAAAATACAAGCATCGACTGTCCTCTTATATAATTCAAAATAAAAGCCTTGTGTGTTTTTATCATGATTTCAGATGTTCAGATCAGACGAGTGTGAATCTTCAGAGTGTGTGCGGCTCAAACTCACCAGCTCTTCTTGCACAGATGATCTGAAGAAGAATCACAGTAGGAGCAGCAAACAGTGCAATCTCAACAATACTCACAATCACTGCAGGAAACATGAGAGGAAGAAGAGAAACTGGACATGACTGAAGTCAAGGGCCTTCATCTATCAACAGTTATTGATGAAGCATTTACAGACTGACTGATAGTGTAATTGTGGCGAGGGGGCGTGTTTCGCAAAGTCTACAGCGGGAGAGAAAGGGCGGAGCCGCACAGTGAGTAAGTAGGTCAAGTGCAGATGATGAACACCTGTGTCTGATTGCAGTAATTGGTGTGGAGAGACTGCATATAAGCAGGCAAGATTGAGAGAGAGTGAGAGAGTTGGACTGGGACTCAAGGATCTGCTGACCATAAAGAGTTGTTGTTTATCTGCTGTATTACTACATTAACATGGTGAACGCGCTACTGTGCGCCCTCTTTCTTTTGTTTATTTTCTGTTCGTTTTAATAAAACCTGAGACCCATTCACGCCGACCCTGTCTTCTAACTTCTACACCCACCGAGCCTCATCACACTGGTGCCGTAACCCGGGAAGGAATAAGAACGCCGCCGCCATCATGCAGACCCCGTCAGGAATAGCATTTGTGGATAGCATCCAGCCGCTCGCGGGTCTTCATCAGGAACAACATTGAGCTCTTCTGGCTTTAAAAGAGGAACAGGACCAGTGCTTTGAATTGCTCCTCTGAAGTCAGCAAGAAGACCGCGAGCTGGATGGACCGGGAGATTCGGGTCATCCCCTCTCCAGCTGCGGCCTCGACCCTGCCACTACCTCTCAACAAGATGGGCCCCCAGAATGATCCGGAGGCCTTCTTGGACCTGTTTGAGAGGTCTGCCGAGGCCCGGGGATGGCCTTCAGCGGACTGGCCGGCTTATTCCCCTGCTGTCTGGAGAAGCGCAGCTAGCCGCACAGTAACTGCCAGTCCAGAATCACCTGGTCTATGAAGATCTTATGCGCGCCATACTTCAGCTGGTCGGCCGGACGCCCGAACAGTACCACCAGAGGTTCAGGACACTGGGCCTCGAAGAGTCCTGTCGGCCCTTCGTTATGGCACAGCAGCTCCGGGACTCCTGCCGCAAATGGCTGATGGCCGGCAGAAGCGACGTCGAGGGAGTCATCGACAAGGTGGTACAGAAGCAGTTCGCGGCGCAGCTCCCGAAGCGGACAGAGCAATGGGTCCAGTACCACCGCCCGACATTGCCGACCCAGGCCATCCAACTGGTGGAGGACCAGATGGTGGCGTGCCCCAGGAGCGGCGAACCCCTGCCATCTGCTTCTCTCTCCTCTCCCCCCATTATCCCCACTCCTCTCTCTAAACCTGTTCCCCCTCCCAGGTCTCGTGGGGGGCTTATGCCCCAGCCATCGACAAGATGGAGAACGGGGACCCCAGCAGAGCTTCCTAGGGTCCCTCCTCGGGGAACGGCTCCCTCCACTGCCACTGCTCTCTCCACGCCAATTCCTTGACCCGCTTACTGCCACTGGGCCAGATACCAGTGAGTGTCAAGGGGGGTACATATCAGGCTTTGGAGGATTCAGGGTGTAACCAAACCTCCATTGATCAAAGCCTGATTCTACCTGGGGCATTGGATAATAGCCGCTTGGTTAAGGTACGGTGTGTGCACAGGGTGGTGACTTATCCAATATTGTCCATGGGAATTCAATTTAGGGGTCAAAAACATAGGGTTGAGGTGGCCGTTAGCCCGCACCTCCGCTAATTCTCGGGTGACTAATTGGCCTGCCTTAAGAACATTATTGGGGAATTTGTGTGCGGATGCCTCTTGGGGAAACAGAATAAGGATAGGAGGTAGAGGTTCAGGTGGGAGAAGCTGAGCTGGGGCCACTGGGTGCCACTGCAGGGGAACAGAGAGCTCTAGAGAGGACCATCCTGAACGAGCGCGATGACTTTCCCCTGGAGCAGTCCCAGGATGATATGCTGAAACATGCTTTTGACCAGGTCCACCTCAATCGACAGCCAGCTCCTTCAGTCAGACCAAACGCTCTCTTATCCTTATTTTCCTATATTTATCGGGTGACCCCAAGTCTACAGCGGGAGAGAAAGGGCGGAGCCACACAGTGAGTAAGTAGGTCAAGTGCAGATGATGAACACCTGTGTCTGATTGCGGTAATCAGTGTTGGGGAGTAGTTAACTACAAGTAGCGACACTACTAACTTAACTACATTTTTCAGTAGCTTGGCTGTAGCTCAGTTGCTTTTTAAACAGTGTAGCTTTTCCAGTAGCTAACTACTTTTTGCAGCAAGTAGCGGTGTAGCGCGAGCAAAAGCTACATTGCGTTTGTCGAGCCTGCGCGAATCAGCCCGATGCAAGGATATTCTTCATCTTGTTAGGTTACAAACTCATTTTTTGCCATTACCGCCACCTGTTGTTTAATCACGCGTCTTGCGGCTAACGGTTCAGTGACGTAAAGAAGTGGATTGACAGTGACACACCCATATTATGATTATGATGGAGCCAGAGGTGACGGCAGATTTGGATGATGGAGAAACAACTAAAGTTAATTACCCATGGCCTTATTTGTCCAAGTTCAATCGGTATTTTTGAGAAAATGTTCTAAATGCAATTTATGTTGAATGTATATTTAGTTCTTGCAATGTTGTAGGCTATTTGTTGCAATTTTGCACTTTTGGCAAACAGTCTGCGATATTTGAGTGTTGTGTGTAATAAAACAATACTCTATGAAATCATAATTGTATTGCATTGTTTTAAACACTAAATATCTTAATTAAAACATTCATCAGACACTTATTCAGTTATTTATAATATATAATTTATAGCATGTTATAATAATAATAATATGTAATATAATATTTATAATATGTTGTTCAAAAAGCAAAAGTAGTTTCAACGTAGCTAGCTATTTTTTGATAGTAACTTGTAGTGTAGCTAGCTACTTTTCCAAAAGGGTAACTTGACTGTAGTTTAACTACTTTAACGTACGAGTAGCTTGTAGCTTGTCAAACTACAGTTTCAGAGTAGCTTCCCCAACACTGGCGGTAATTGGTGTGGAGAGACTGCATATAAGCCGGCGAGATTGAGAGAGGGTGAGAGAGAGTTGGACTGGGACTCAAGGAACTGGTGACTGAGAGAGAAAGGATCTGCTGACCATAAAGAGTTGTTGTTTATCTGCTGTGTTACTACATTAACATGGTGAATGCGCTATTGTGCGCCCTGTTTCTTTTGTTTATTTTGTTTGAATAAAACCTGAGACCCTGTCTTCTACCTTACACACCCACTGAGCCTCATCATAGTAATGTTATAAAGCTGTCAGTATAAATGAACGTGTCGTACCTCTGTATAATAATCCAGCAGTTTCTGAAGCTGTATCAGCTGGACCTGTGGATCACGTCTGTTAATTCAGTTCAACACACAACTACACAACATCAGCAACACATAATAATGGAGCTTCACATCAGAAATGATGAATAGGTGCACAAGTCTGTCATCATTTTCTTTCTTAACATTCAAATGCACAAATATTGAGGAATCCTTAGAGGTTGATGTGTGTGACAATGATCATGTGATATTATAGAAATTGATATTGATATCTGTACACTAGCAGACTGCACCTCATATGTTTACTAAATTATTATGACATGATTGTTTAGGACTGACTGGATGAGAATGATGTGTCTGACATTTAATGACAGGTACTTTTTACAGTATTGTAGGTGATGTACAAGAGAATGGAATTAGAAAGTTATGTAGATTACAAACTAAACGCATTTAATGACAAAAAAATGTGTGATCAGCTGTTCAAACAACTCCAGAGAGGATTCAGAAACTGATTCTAGAAAACTCCATGAGTCGGTGAAATGAGGATGATGTTCATACACACCTGGATTCAGAGAGCTTGCTGTGGTGTCTGGAGTCAGTGTTGTTGCTGTAGTTGATGTTACAACTATTAAAAACAAGATGGAAACAGAAATATGATTACACAATGTCAAGGCATTTATTTGACAAACTGCTGTAGAGTAGAGCTGCTCCGTATCTGGCTGCGTTTACACTTGGCATTAACATGCGACCTGTATCTGGATGTTGTCCACCACACATTGAAAAGACAAGTGTACACACACTTCTGATGGGAATGTTCTCGATCAGTGTGTCGAGGTTCGGAGTCGAGGACGCATTGTGATTGGATCTCAGTTTAATGTAATTCACAGGTGGACGTCATATAAATCCCCATATTCCCCTCGTCTCTCCAGGAATTGCTGCACGTAGATGTGTGGTTTCGCGATACAGCCGAGTGTGAAGTACATCGCAAATATACTGAAATGATTGCTTTTATTTTATGCTAAAGTTGCATTTTCCCCACCACAGCTGATGAAGGTCTTGAGACCGAAACGTTGTTGAATAAAAAGTTTGTGATATGCAAGTTTGGATAGTGTGCGGGATCTTCTCTTTGCCCCACCACAGCTGGCGACGTTCTCGGATACGTTTCTCTGTACCGTTTCTAGTACGCCATCTATCCACATTATTAATACTTGCAGACTCTTCGTCCTCCTCATGTTGTGAGATTTGTATCCTGACTGAAACTCTTTTTAAAAGAAAACCCACCCGTTCAGGTCGACTTTGCACCGGAGCCATCCTTTTTTATTATTTTTTTTTTTAAATGTGAGATCCGATCTGTTATCCGGATACAGAAGCCACTTGATGTGGACAGATGTAAACACACTGTGTCCTGATTGGCTTATGATTTGATCTGCTTGATTGGATCATGGTGATCACATGTTAATGTCAAGTGTAAACGCAGCCTCTGTCACGTACAAAACACAGAAGCGCCTGCGAACTGACTCGAGGCCCACAGTGAAGAAAATTAATAGTTGAAATATTGAAATGAATAGTATGAAAGTCGTTTTTTGTTGCTTGATAAACTAAAGATTGAGCCACTGTAGTCAATTTGACTATTTTAACGATGTCTTTAATAACTTTTCTGCCCAGGTAAAACCACTCACTTTCCAGATCACACACTAATTGTTGCTGTGTTGTTTTTTTTTTTTTTTTTTTTTTTTCTTTTTACTTGTTCCGGACAAGTGGGCAAGCATTAATGTCAATCCCTGATGATTCAGTATTAATCTATCATAGGAGTGGCGTGAGTTACACTAGCTGTATATTATGATTATTTCGCATCAGACAACAGACCGTACAAGACCAGTTATATGTGTCAAAACTCACTGACAAATCTGACTAAAGAGCTTTTTATGTAGATAATATCTGTGATGGTAAGCCAGTGTGTGAGAGCCAGTGCAAACCACTGAAGCGAGAGTGACGATGTGTGCCAGTGGTCATGTGATCATGAACCTTGTGTAGGAGCTGTTGCTGTAGTTCTGCTTGATGTCTTCTCAGAGTTTGATCTGCTGACTGGAGTCAGTGTTGTTGAAGAGACTGGAGCTGCAGAAGATGAATGTTCACACACATCACCTGTAGGACATTAACATCATATCTTCACATTGATCATGACATGCAGTTTGTGTTCAATCATCACAGCTTACAGTGGCAGTAGTTGAGAAGAGAGATGTTACTGGATCATTTATTCCTGCTTTATATGAGAGTGAAACACAGTTGAGCTGCTTCCCATAAACCTTCAGCTTTCCTGAATGAAGGACATTATTAAGCCGTATAACTCCTAAAGCTGAACTCCTACATGGGTCATACTAGGCTTTAATAGATTTATGCAATATTTCATGGATGACCCATGTAGGAGGTTAATATTGGGAATTATAAGGATTTCTATGCAGTATGACTTACTGTCCTCTAATATTTTACAATTGCCCAACGTATGAAGTCATTATAAAGAGTAGAGCCAGTCTGTGGAAGTTTTCTCAAATCTGTCTTCTAACAGTGTTTCTCACCTGAATACTTGACAGTGTATGTGACTGATGTCTGGAGTTGATTTCTGTGAGTAACCTGACATCTCCACTCTCTGTTGTTATCTTCATTCAGGAGTGTTGTAGTCAGAGTGATGATACAGCGATATGATGATGATGATGATGATGATGATATCAGATATCTGTTTTCTGTCTTCAGATCAACACCAGCCTGATTCACCCACAACAGCTCAAATCCCTCAGAACGAACCCGATCATCACAGGAGAATCTAATATATGAATACAACTGACAGGAGAGAGTCACAGAGCGGCCTGGACTGATCTCAGTCTGTGAGGATGAAGATGATGATGATGAAGATGATGATGACACTGAAACTGAACACAAGACACAAATCACAGACTCTTCAATCATCATCTGAGTTTAATAAAGAATCTGCCCTTTTTATATTGACCATATAATCATAAACTTACTATGAAGAACATGCAGATAAACATGTGCATCAGTTCCTTGTTTCTGTCCGTTCACATATTGTCTGCAGTTGTATAATCCATAATCTTCTTCTGTGACGTTCTTGATGTTCAGAGAGCAGTCAGACTCCAGACTCAGTCTCTCATGTCTCTCTGTGTCTTTCTTTATCCCTAAACTAATCAGTTCAACTGCTGCTGAACGTCTGAATCTGCTATAGAACCATGATGTTGATTTGCAGTCAGAAAGAGTTTTATTACAGGACAGACGGACATCTACACCAGAACTGATGAACACATGATCATCATCCACTCCACTGGTGCCTGAAACACAGTAGATCTCAGTGATCATTATGATATTTATTAATAAATTAATACATTCATTAATGCATAACAAGCAGAAGATTATCATCATACAGTATTTTTCCGGTAAGGCTTTACAATAAGGGTTTATGAATAATCATGTACTAATACCTGAATTAATACTGAATAACTAATGATAATTAAAAGCAGAGGTGTAAAGTCCAGGTTCAGAAAGTAAAAGTCCTCCTCAGTATTTTATTAAATCACCTGCATTTGCTCATTATCAGATCTGCACAATATATCGAAATATCGCAAATGTATTAATCACAATATGCATATCGCAACAGCTTGCAATAACTGAGGTCATGCGCAAAAGACAAAGACAAAATCACTCACTGCTGTTGGCTGAATAACTTCTGTAGTTTTGATAAGATGTTATATAAATAATTTTTATTAATAAACATTATATATTATATTTTAATTCTATTTATGTAAGTAATTCATACAGTGAAAACTACACACTTATGCCACAGTAAAACATTTTCACAGTTTATTGTCACAAAAAGAAACACGTATTATATAATTTAAAGGGGTGGTAAAGTATGATTTTACTTTTCTAACTTTAGTTGGTGTGTAATGTTCGAGCATAAACAACAGTATCAAAGTTACAACGCTCAAAGTTCAAGCAAAGGAAGATATTTGCTTTTAAAAAAAGGACAACACGATTTTCCTCCAGGGTTAGTGACATCAGCAACCCCAAAATGTCCATAAACCCTTCACGGGAGCTCTTGAAACCCCGCCTCCTGAAGCAGCTCATTTGCATTTAAAGGGCCAGACAAAAAACGGTGCATTTTTGCAAACCCTCAAAAAGTGACAACTTTAACATGCTGTATAAAAATATCTGTGGGGTATTTTGTGCTAAAGGGCGCTATTGGTCTTCACTGCATGACGTCACCAAAGTGTGGACTTTGAGTAAGTCCACAATCCGGAGTGTGTCATTTGGGACACAGCCTTATAGCTGGAGTCAGAGGCCACAGACTCACGGAGGCGATTGGGAATTCACAACACACTTTATTCCCCAGTTGATCTCCTGTAACTCTCTGTCAGACACGTTTGACTGTATACAGTGTTATTAACTAAACAAAATGACTTTAAAATGATTATCAGACAGAAATAACCCGCATGGTGTGATCGAGGCGCACATACAAAGCAGACCGTTCAACCGGGAGTGCGCAGCTCTTAAAGGGGCCACACCTTATTTCTACTCGCTACATAAAAAGGCAGTTTGATTCAGTAGTGCGGGAAGATGGTTTAGTTTAGGGGTGCTGTTTTTTTAGGTCACCACTTGTAAATAAGAAACAACATCAAATAAAACTCGTCAAAACACCACGAATTACAACAAGTGTATCGGTGAGAACTAAATGCTTCAAATAGCTACATGTAAATTAAATGAAAATTGAAAACTGTTATTCCCGTGTGCCTGGTTTGATTATGTTTATCCATAAATATTAATGAATGCATTAATTATCAAACATGTAGTGAATTATGCCGTTATTGATGTGTGAATCCATAATGTCTCCAGTCGTAGTTCAAGATAACTCTCCATTGGTTCATGATTCGGTCGTGCCTTCAATAATATGATTATTCATTTACCCTTATTGCAAAGTGTTACCGCTTTTTCTTCACTTAAAGTAAACAACACACTCTCCAGAATAAACTATGAGTGTTTATCAGAGAGCTGTTCAAATCACTGACACACTCTTAATATGAAGATCATTCTTCATCATCAGATGTTTGAGTGACACTATGTCCAGTATCAGGAATAATACAGTATGATCTGTGTGTATCAATACACAACTCTGAGATCACAACGTGAATGTGTGCAAGAATAAACTGAGCATGTTCAAATCAACTCTTTCCAGACTAATTCCACTAAATGTGTTTAGAGAAAATACAGATTTCTTTACCTGTGAGAAGTGAAGAGAGAATGATCAGTCCCAGCAGACACAGATCACACTGATCAGACATTTCTGCTTCTGTCCGTTTCTGTCCGTCTTCCTCTTCATTTATATATAGTTACAGCTCCTCCTCTTCATTTATATATAGTTACAGCTCCTCCTCTTTATTTATATATAGTTACATCTCTTCCTTTAAACATCATCAGCTCCTCCTCTGGTTGGTAACTTCCTCTAACTATGTTTCCATCACCCTGTTTTTATGCTCATTTTGAAGTATCGCACCAGAAACGAGTGATGGAAACCCCAAATTTGTCAGAGAAAACAATTTCATCATTATGAAATATAGTTGTTTTAAGGTGACCCAATACAGTGTCCTCTTTATAAATATAAATTAAATTAAATATTTTTTTATTTACACAATCGTTTGGCATAACATCAGTCAGATATTGTGTTGCTTGTTCGGTTTAATTTACCATCAAAAGCACTTTTTCGAGCATTTCGGTCACACTTTTTTATTAAGTGACTTAACAACTATGTACTAACATTGAAATTAGTCATTTGACACACTGGACTTATCGTGTCCATACATGTTTTACATTGTACTTATATTTTGAAAGTACCTGCATGTAATTGCAGCTGTAATTAATGTATGTAATTGCAATTGTAGTTACACTGTTGACCCATTCCTTACTAACCCAACCTTAAACCCACTCATACCACACACACCTGACCCTAACCTCACCCGCATCACACCTCAAGAGCAGATAGTGTTTTACAATAGCCTACAACACGAACACAATAATAACTGCTACTATGTTCAAAGTCTGTGTACACGCTTGTGTGTGTGTGTGTGTGTGTGAGAGAGAGATTTCCAGTCCACAAATCCCCTATTCCTCTATTCCCCGCGTCCTCACGCTGCAGAGAATGACGGTTCTGGAGTGGCCTAGATCTGGATTAAAGACAACGGCCACACATGGATCATAACTGGCTGAGAGGAGGCCGTGTGTGTGTGTGTGTGTGTGTGTATTTGCTAGAATATGTCATCGTAACCTTCCTCTGATTGGGTAAGAAAAACATTTCTCCATCTGCAATTTTTCCATTGGTTGTTCCTCGCGGAATCTGCCAAACAACACCGATTTCATTGACCTTTTACGTAGTGGTATTGTGCAACTGGGACGTGTGTATATTCACAAGCCGGGTAAGTTATCACTGTTTTCAGCGGAATCTGAGGAAGACCGCACCTCTCTATCATTAATACTTTTTAAGATAATTACACATTTGTAAAAGTATACCATTTTGGGCGGTACCGGCCAATCCGTCCCCAGAGGGTTAAGCATACCCAAGCAGCGGTCTCGAACCCAGAGGCTGCCCTAACTGTTCTGGTCTCCCTACTAAGATCCATGAAAGGAGACTTACAGTTGCAATATCAGGAAACGAGGACCCTTCTCCTCTCAGACTCAGCCCAGAGCGGAGCCAATTACCGGAGCCAGATTATGGGTGGAATAATCTCCCTCTCTTTAGAGATGCCCTCGCGGGTATAGCGGAGGAAGATGATGATGGAGATGAGGAGTTATCCCCTCATCTTCCAGACGACGATGAAAAGGAAGAGGATTTCAGCATCTGTGTTTCAAAAGATTTACAAATCCACTGCTTTGGCCGTCAGGCCGTCTTTCTGATAAGGGAGTTTCTGGACGCATCACTTACAGATTGGGGGGCGTTCGAGGGCAGAACCGTGCGGGGAGTGTGGTCTCAATCTCAAAGGGCAACATGACATCATGACTTTTGCGTAAACATACACGGCAATTTCGAGTCAAGTGCCGTGTTATCTTAACACATTTTTAGCTATCCGCGTGTATCCGCGTGTATGCGTGTTTGTCTACGCCATTAACGTCCGCGTCGTTCCGCGTGTCCGTACACGCCGTCAAATGTCCGACCAAAACAAAGCAAAATGTAGATCTACATCTGGGGAGCTATGTTTTTCTTTTCTAGGATGGTAAGGGAACAGTCATAAATGCCATTAACTCCAGTGACGGTTAGGTTTAGGGACGGGGTTGAGGTAAGTCATATATTTATATATACAGTAATAACGTTAAGTCAACGGCGTTCATAAACACGCTGAAAAGCGATTATGCGTGTTGATAGCAGACAAGGGGGAGTGCGCTCTCGACAGCTACACAGTCTAGCGCAGAGACTAAAGCCCAATCTACACTTCTGGGTCGAACTCATGCCGTAGCTACGTCGTATGCTGTGTTTAGCACGTACCCTTCGGCGTACCCTGACGTGCACCTCTCCAAAAATGTAACAACGCGTCAATTCTACGCGGATGCGAGTGCTGTGATTGATCCGCTGGAACCCCTCCCCCTCTGGTGCTCCCTCTGCATGTGTAATTGACCTATGGCTAAGCCACGCCCCCTCCAATCACTCGGACAAATAGTCAACATTCGGGAACAGGCGCTATGGCAGCGGTCACAGTAGGAGACATTTCACAGGAGGCAATTGGTGATTTTTGGAAGATTTCGAAGTCACCTAAAGGGCCTTAACTATGCATCGGAGGGTTATAATAATAATTTTAGTGTTGAGAAGGTCGATGAAAAGCTTCAGCTCGAGGCAGAAACGTACAGGTCACAGTGTAAACGTGATAAACCGCATATCGTTGCCATCACCGTTTAGTGCTACAGTACATCAATCATTCAGCACAACATTGCTAACATTTGTTATCTCGGTTATTTACAGATACGCTAGTGAAGCAGCTAGAAGCTAACGTTAAGGTTTTTTAATGTTAGGCTAACGTTACGTTAGATTTTAAAGATAGCGTTCAAATACGTTGTTGACTTAACTTAGATCAGATGTAGACATCCTTGTTTGATTTATCCACGTTTAGTTGGTGTTGTTGTCTACCGCATAACTTAATCTTATATCGGTTGAGATGTGGCTTGGGAAAGGGTAAAAAAATACACACCGTCGCCCAGCCTCTCGGGAACATAGTGTCGGAGCTGCATGTACCCCATACACACCGTTTGACCATTTTAAACTTAAAATAAGAAAAAATGAATGAAAACTGACTAACTGCAATACATTTCAATGGACGTGGAAGCAGAGAATGTCTGAGTGTATTGGGTTAGCTGCACACTGTGATTGGCTCATCGCGTTTGGGGGCGTGGCTTAGCCATAGGTCAATTGCGCATCAACACGGACAACGACGCAGAAGTATAAATGAAAACCAACGAGTAGTCTATAGGTCCGACGCAGAAGTATAAATCAGCCTTAATTATTTCATCCTGACCCTCACAAGATAGCTCTCTGGGCTTGGCCAAACATGGATCACTTGCTGGGGGTGGGTGTGTGTGCATCATGAAGCTTTTATTAGGCTACCAATTTTGTGCTACTGAAACCACAACTTCCAGAGTTTCACTGACAAATGCGTCATGATCACACTTCATCTATATTTACACAGCAAAAACTCCCGTGTTAAATTAACTCTTCTATGAATGTATTTTAGACCACACTCAAAAGTGTTACAATAAGGGAAAATGTCAAGGGTCGTGAGCCTGAACTAAACAACCGAGAGAAAAATATGTCTACTACCTCAGATTTAACGTTTGATCTGAACATCAGTATCGGGGAATAACATAATCTCGCTCACGGAAGAGAAAGCCGTGCAAAAACCGTGAAGACTTCAATGTAAACACAGCTTTTGTCTCGAGTGTAACGTCATAACACACGTCTCTTATTCTTATTCTGTTTCCAGTTAAACACCCTGGTGTTGTCCACTTTAGGGGTTTTATAGAGGCATATAAGAGCATGGGTGTCAACAGATATGAGATTTCCGGGAATCCATCCCCTATATAAGGGATTTTTTTACACCATTCTTAACTTAAAAACATTACATTACACATTTTAGTTTAAAGGAGAACTCAAGTCAATTTTAACATTGAGCTCATTTTTTTTTTGGTAAATGTTGAGTGTTGTCAGTACAGAGAACAACGACAAAAATTGGTGTTGCCTACACTGTTATGCTCTTTTTAAAATGTGCAGCTGCTTTTAGTCTCAGTGATTTTGGCCATCGGCATCCTCATGATCCATCATCCCACTAATCTAACGTTATTCTACACTCCTTGAAGTTCAGACTTCCCGGCCGCTACTTTTTCCCTCTTCCTCCCGCCCGCCACTACAACAATCTTCTTCCTCTTCTTCAATAGTGGCCTAAGCTACTGTCTCTATACTGCCACCTGCTTTATTGGAGGTCTAGCAACCCAAGTGCAAGCCACTTCACAGACACAGGTAGTTGCGTGTTCTGAGTTAAAGGGTTAGTTCACCCAAAAATGAAAATTAAGTCATTAATTACTCACCCCCATGCTGTACCAACCCCGTAAGACCTTCGTTCGTCTTCGGAACACAAATGAAGATATTTTTGATTAAATTTGAGAGCTGTAGAACTACCACATTGGCTGCCTAAGGGACTGGCTCTTGACGGCCCAGAAAGTCAATGAAGAAAATGTTTAAATATTCCAAGTGACTACCGTGGCTCAACTATATGTTTATCAAGCGACGAGAATACTTTTTGTGCGAAAAAACAAACAAAAATAACGACTTTATTCGACTATTCCTTTTCTTCCTTGTTGGCCTGAAACGAGACTTCCTTAGATTTCCACGACGCATGCGCGAGAACTGAACTAAAGTAGTTGAAGGAGATCGCAATTCTCGCGCATGCGTCGTGGAAATATTTTAGGGGAACATACTCGAACAGGAAGACAGCGGGAAAAGAGCTAAAATACGTGAGAAACACAGAAAAAACAGGAGGGTTGACAGCTATGGTCACAACCAAGACCATTAGTTACCACTTTCAGTGTGTGTCTGTTTATACAGCATATCTGCAATACGGGAGTGGTCTATATCCCTTAGTGAGATACCGAACGGATGTAATAAAGAGAACGTTAGGTGAGCGTAACCTCGGTTCTCTGATACCAGAAGTGATGTATCTCACCTCACCGCCCTCCTAACAAACTACACTGTGAAGAAGATATGTGTGGTCTTGGACTCGAGACCGTTTTTCTATGGTCTCGGCCTCGCTGGTATTCGGACTCGGACTTGTCTCGGTCTCG